GATTGACAGAGTCTTAAAAGTAGGAACATGTAAATAAAGATTGAATAAATAAAATGTGTAAATCTCTGTTGGTGATAAACGTCTGGAGACTTTGAGGTCAGTTAATCATTTCTTGTGTTGGAGGATACGTGGATTCATGGCTCGCTTCACTGGACATCAACACACTGATGGTGCTGTGACCTTTGACCTCCTGGCTGATCATTACTGGTGACCATCGTGAAGCTGGAGTTTGTTTTCCTGTCAGACGCATGAGACTCATCCTCGGTCTTTGCAGATAAGAGAGTCACAGAAATGAGCAGAATATAAGAAAACTTCTCTGTGTTTTCTCGGTAATGAAAGAAAAGACGTCTGGAGGAGATAAGAGCTCTGCACTCCTCCGCCTCACTTTTGGAATCGCTCGTTTCTCTCTGGCCCGGAGGATGACCAGCGCCGGCCGCCGGACGATCACGAGACAAAAAAATGACCCTGAACCGGGAGAATTAATCTCTGGACGCTGGTGCAGGAGGAATCCAAGACTCTCTGAGGAGAGTTGGTGAAAATTACAGCCAGCTGTAAACAAATTTGTCATTTTAATCTGAGCGAGCGACAGAGGCTGAGAGGGTTCACACAGCAGCTGCGATAACTTTCACACTTTGCTTCTCTCACACAAACACATTATTGTTTCAATACAGTGTGATCCTGAAGCTACAGCAAATCACTCCGACACGTTCGAGACACGAGTCATCACGACAACAGACTGTGCAGATTCACAACATCCCAGATAATTTAGCTTTTAATAATATTCAACGTGTTTCATTCAGTTTTCAACACATGAGGATATTTAACACAATGAAATGGATCATTTACTTTTCATGTGTTTTTATGTTCAGCTCTGTAAATCAGGATTTTCCATCACTTCTCACTGATGATAAAGACAAACTCAGTATAAAATCAATGAACAGAGTTCTGAGCATGTTACAATATAATCGGGTCCAAGAATAATCCACAGTGAACTTCAGAAGGTATCAGATATAACTGTATCTGTCACCATGACAACACTGCTGCTCTACGGACGTTTTCTGATCCGAGTCTGAAGCTTCATGTTTGTTCACGTTTCATTTGATCTGTTAGTTTTGGTTTCACATTGTAATTTAGAGACTAAAGAATTTGTCTGAAACACTTTATTATTTTCAATGTGTTTAAAAACAGAACCTCTGACCACGTGCACGGTGAGCGCAGGGTGAAGTAAGTCACACCTACCTTTATCCAGGGATCTCTCCAGGGCTCGGGGTTTCTTCCTGACCACAGTGAGAACCACAGTCTGACCCGTCTGCTTCATCACCTCCAGCACCTCCTGATTGGTCATTCCGTGAAGACTGACGCCATCCATCTGTTCGGACAGGAAGTGACATCAGCGAAGATGAATACATCAGGGTCTGAAGTCGGT